GAATATCAAGAAGATGATAAAAAAAGATATTTTAGAATACTATTGACATTCTGGTAATAATGCATTTTTCCCTTAAGAAGTGGTCCATGAGAATTACATTTAATTCTATATATGAGCTATAGAGAGTCATAAAAAGTTTTATAGTCCCAGTATTCTAAACTGATTTCTGCCCTTCTGTCAAATGTATTCCTTTGGATATCCTACCTACCTTTGCTGCCTGCAGTAACCATAAATAGAGACAAACAGTCCAGACAGGCCTGGGATTTCTGCTTAGCTAAAGCCACACGTATAAAACTGCAGTGGTTTCCCATACTCTTCTCTCACGTATCCACACTTTGAGGAATTTTATATTTATTTATTTTTATTTTTTATATTTATTTTTATTTTATATATTATGTTTACATATATTTATATTTATTTATAATTTTATTCATATTTATTCAGTATGTCTTGTCTTCAGTATTCTGCATTGAAGACAAGAATCATAATAACTAGGTGATAAACCAAAAGTAATGAGAAACTGTGCTGATAAACAATTTGAAATGTTATACCACAGAGATCTGGACTCTGTGAGTTTACATGTAGATTCACTAGTTTATCTTCATTTTATAGCAGCTAAATTTTAATTCATGGGCGTTGTACCAGGAGATCAAACATTGAAGCATGTTGTAGTTTTAGATTTAAACATATGGATAATATAAAGAAATTCACTTGCCAAAGTGCAGGTATTTGCAGTCCTGTAGCTCTACATGTATGTTAAGGTTCCCCTGACCAAACTCTCCAGAAATTCACGTCACTATTTGTTATGAATGCATGAAGAACATGAAAATCAACAGTAAACTGGATGCTTACCAGGTCAGGAAATTATCTTGTTGTTCAAACTTGTCTCTTTTTCAGAGAGTTATATATCATTTAGTTGACTTCTTCAAGGGGTAGTGTGTAACTGATATGGAAGCATTGTTTGACAGGGCACCATCTCTCTTTTATCTATTTGCTAATATGTTCCTCTGCTTTTCCAATAAAAATTATTTAGGTGAAATCTGAAGACTATAAAAATTTGCAGATGCCCTGTGGACATTTGATAGTTCAAGATACTTTTGAAATATGTGTAGATCTGAAATTACCCAAGGTGTACAGTAGTTCACATCCATCAGGGAAGTGCTGAACCAACCGCATGTGTATCGTCCAGATGGTCTGTGTGTGCACAGCTAATCTGGTGTAGTTCTGGCTATTTCAGACTTAATATGCATGGGCAGATCAACTGTGCTTTGTGCAATTACACAGATGCAGCTGAGCAACTTGTGGCTTATTCTGCTTGTGGTCTACAGATGGTCCTATCCATGCACACTGAGTGTACTGAGTGTGCTCTGCAGTTACCTGGCTTACAGCAATGGATACCACAAAGTATATATATGAATATACTGTGCTTGGGAGATATCAGAAGAAAAACAATGATTCTATTCTCAGACATTCTGAGTACTTTATTTGCCAAAATTTGAAATGTTTTGCCTACTGATAAACTACTCATAAGGAAGTTGCTTAGACTTGGAAATGTACAAGGAAAAAAATCTCATTCCCTCAAGGAGAGTAGGAAAGAACTTAATAAGAAATCTGTATTTTGTGTATTCTTATATTCTTTCCTTTGTAGAATTACTAGAGTAAATTAAAAAAAAAAAAAAGTCCATTTGGATCATGTAAGCAATCTGTAGTTATTCAACTAATATTTAATAAATCACTTGGTAGAAATCAGAAGGATATAATTTGATTATGTTGTCTGATATCAATTTTTATCCATCCCCGTAACAGATAAGTGAGAATAAATTCATTGACTGTAGTAAAGGAAATACAAACCTATTAGTTAACCACTGTGATATGACAGATTAAAGTGCTTTGGGAGGACTGTAGTGAAATCTGTATGTATTTAGTATTGACTTTTAAATTTATAGAAGATTTCTATTTGCAATTCTAAATACTTAAAAACATGGAAATGCATGAAGAAATGGAAAATGTATCTGGAATATCATCCTCTAATCTGCTAAGTAGAGGATAAAAAGTAGGTAATCTTCATAAGGCCTCCTGAAACATTTGTTAAGTACAGCCTACTTAGATTTAGTTACATCTAAAGGTGTAGCTAGCTAGCTCCATGTGCATTTGACAGACCTGTGAACATTCTAGGATTAGTTATAGAAAAACAATATAGAGTTCCTTTCTATAGAAAAAAATAGGGGTATTATTAGAAAAGCCCACAGCATTTGCCGTTTTTAAACTCAGTGTGTAAACACAGGAGCTGAATCAAATGTTTTTGCAACATAACTAATGGCTATGAAGGAGTTTGTTTCTATGCACCTGCAGGCAATTCCTGTGGGCTTACCTCCTTGTCCTGCATCCCAGGTGGGAACACTCACTGAACTAAAAGGTGATCCTGACACAGCACCCTATGGTTTCAGAGCTCTTCTCTGCTGACTGCTCACATTTCCTTCCTCTTCAACACATGAGATTGCCCTTGCTACTGTCAAGCACCTCCCTCCCACTGTGCCAGGACTCGTTTGGCTTGCCGTACTCTCACTGGCCACTGTGGTAGGGAACACTAAGTGCTGTTTACAGTGGTGTTTTTGCACAGTGAATGAAATTTTCAAAGGAAGAATGACAAAGAAAGCCACCCTTCTGGGTCTCACTAGGAGGAGGAAGAGAGGGAAAGGCAGACCTGTAGACTGTGTAGACTCATTTGCTGTTGCCCGTGGGGATTGCAGAAGAGGAGAAGAGGAAAGGAGAAGAGGAAGAGAAGAGGAGATGAGAGAGAAGAGAAGGTCTCAGTCCCTTTCTTTGCCCAACAAGCTAAGTAAAAAGGAGAGCCTGACTGTCTCTTGTCTCTTAAGTCTCTGAAACCCATAGAGCAAGTAGTATCCACCTACAACTGTGTCTTCTGTAATATCTGAATAACAGCTTAGCATGAGATCCATTTTCTGAATTGTGGTGCCACTTGTGGAGATCAATTTGGGATTTGAAAATTCAGTGATGTGGCAGGTAGTTTTTCTCCTTCTTTCCCAGTATCCACAAGGTGTGATTGAACAGTGAGAAACCATGTCCGAGTGTGAGTTTATTAGTTCAGTAGTTAAATGACTGAAGTTTCAATTCCCAGAAGTAACCAAAACCAGGACATAGGGAGCTGAGGACTGTCTGGAGGATGCTGTCTATGTAGAGGAAGGCAAGATTTTAAATCCTTTTTGGTTGAGTTATATTTTCGTGTATCGTTCCCCCCCGCCAATGGAAACAGAACAGGATAATTCCTTTTCCCTTAGAAAGAAGAGAAAGCTGTGCAGAACTGGGGTTGGCATGTGTCTGTACTCTGCAAGAATGAATGCTTTGTGTTTCGATAAGGGATTAACTCCCTTTTATTTTTTTTTACAGTGAGAAATTTGTCACCTTGATTCTTTAGAAGTAATTCCTCTGTTTGGGGGTGATGTTGATAAACATCTGTGGGAAATATGGGGTGGCTTAACTTTCTTGAGAAATCAAGAAAATTGAGTTTGTAGAGCCCATAAGCACTTTGACCTGTCTTTCTTACGTTATCCACTGTATTCCGTTACTCAGAACGTATATGTGATTAAGATGTTTGTGCTCACCCTGGCATAAGGATTTAGAGAATTTGGCATTTACTACTTAAGATAATTGGATGGCCTTCTCTTTAATTTCCCAGCTATATTTTTATTTTTTATGCCTTTGTTTGTCATCTAATTTCTTATTCTCCTTTTTGACTTTTCCTAAGTTTAACCCTATCTGTATTTGCTTTTCTTCTGGCTCCTTAACCAGTTCTTCCACCTATATTTTATTTTTCTTTTTTTAATCTCTGCGTTTTTATACTGCTAATCTTCCAGTCTTCCTATTTTTTTCTTTTTGCATTTTTTCATTTCCTCCCCTAAGTCTTTCTATATTCATTTACAGTCTACTCTTGAGGCATTTATTTTCCACAATTTCTGGGGTTGTTTATCACCTTTTAATTTGTTTTAATGTATTTTTCCTTAACCAGCTCTTATATTCTTACTTCTTTCTCATTCCATATATCTAGCTTATTTCAATGGCTACTGACTTGCATTGATTCTTGAGTCTCCTGACAGGCTGACTGATCATTTCATAAAGATCGCTGCAGTGGGTGGAGACTGCATATTTCTCTTAACGTTCAGGCATATATACACCATTGTGAGCCCACATATACATTTCCTCTATATGTCTGGTGTCATCAGAAATCTATTCAGCAGCATGAAAGATGCCAGATCAGTAGTCTTAACAGGATTTCTTTTTTTTTTTCCCCAACAGGTTTATTTTCTCTTTTGTAATATAGAAATAAATATGTATATTAAAATGCTTCCAGAATTTTCCAGTTACAGCTATTGAATAAAGACCTAGGTACATAGTAACAGCTAATCTGAAATAAAACTAGGCAACTGCTCTTTTTCTTATCTAGAATAAGTACTCATACAAAAACTTACTTGGAACCACTACTTCAATATTTCATAATACACAGACTTGGTTTTCATTTGTTTAATAGAAATTCTGATTCTACAGTGCTTGTTTTCTGATACTGTTGCTGAACTCACTGAAAATTTCTGGGTTACCTCTGAGGAACTGTGCTATTTATAGCTACCAATGTAATCCTGCTTGGTTCCAGAGGAGTATAAGGTGACTGTAATATAACTAGAGTTACGAGGAAATAATGTATTTAATTATTCTTAAATATCATGTTTTTGCTTATTTGGACTAAAAGGCGATTACAATCCTGGAGTTGAGAAATTTTACAGTTTCAATAACTAGCATAAGAACCACACAAGTGCTTTTTACAAATCACCAACTAAGCTTCTTACTTTATCTTTCTTTACATAATTTCAATATTGTGTATTTTAACATTTCAACGTAGCATAAACAAAAGCATTTAAAAATAAATATCTTTCTTACTTGTTGATTTCAACATGTTTGTTTGAATTTTATTTTCTGCTTTCTTTTAGTATTTTCCTATGCAGAAGAATAAATGGTAATTAAAATGTGCAGGATGAAAAGATGGAGCAGTCAGTGCTTGTACCACCAGGACCAGACAGCTTCCAATACTTCACTAGAGAGTCTCTTGCAGCTATTGAACAACGCATTGCTGCAGAGAAAGCTAAGAATCCTAAACAAGATCGTAAAGACGATGACGAAAATGGGCCAAAACCAAACAGTGATTTGGAGGCAGGAAAAACCCTCCCGTTTATATACGGCGACATACCTCCAGGAATGGTGTCTGAGCCCTTGGAAGACATGGACCCATATTATATCAACAAAAAAGTGAGTCTAATATCAGTCCTGTTCATATGCCAGTGTTTGGAGTGCTTTATCATGTTCATTTAATTTTCATGGAGCGGATTGTGTAGTTACTGCAGTATGTTGATTTGCAGCCAGAATCCATCCACCTTAATGGTTACTAACTTTTCACCCTTTTCATTTACATCAAAATTTATTCCTTTGATACAACTGAATTTATATAAAAGGAACATTTATATCAAAGCTGAAACATCGTATGTGGTCTTTCATTATAAGCAATATATAATACCCATACCAACACATGTATACAGAATATGTATATATTTTGAAAACTAAAAAAGTTTTGGAACTGAGTACAGCAAGATTCTGTAAGGTTCTTCGGGTTTAAAACTGACAGCATGAACCAATACATAGAACATTTTGTTCACAGAAATCTGCTTGGACAGCATATTCTTAAAGAAATTTATGGAGTCAATAGAGAAACATATGGATAAACAGAAAATACAGTAAAAGGAGTGTAAAACTTATTTGTTTCTAGTGGACCTGGCCTTGGACATCCTTTCAGGATGATTTTGTTGCACATCCCATATGCAGCAGAAAAAGTTCCTGTTTTATAGCGATAGCTAGATTTGGTGATACTTGATTTATTGAATTCTGTGACTATAAAAACTCTATCAATATCAAGAGTTATTTTGACTTTAACAAACTACTGTGTTCTAGGTGTCTCAGCTTGCTAAATTTCATGAGCCCTTTTTTGACAAGAGAGAAAATACTATATGAAAGAACATTTTTATCTGTATTATTTGATGCCTCTGAAAGAGCCTTTATCTGCCATTCACAGCATATGAAGATTTCTCTTTAAATCACAGTTCTACTTTTGCAAAGATAAAAGATGTGTTTCTATAAAAGCAGGCTTTGTAGAGTTCTGTACTAATTGTGTCTGTTTATGATACAATATCCGATATAATTTTATCCCTACCTGCCCACAGCTCAGCCTGGACCTTTATAGCCAAATCAGTCTGTCTTGTGTCTCTTACAGTGAAAACAGATACACAATAGGTATGACCTATGATAGATATGCTTCTAGAGCCCTTAGGAATGGAAGACCGTTTCAAGCCCTTCAGAAATGGAGCTGAAAACCTACCATATCAGCCAGGTCTGATGATAGATTTGCAAGAAATGGTGACAAACCGGCTGAACATATTGAATCAAGTTTCTGTACTGTTTAAATGGAAGAATCTTTTTATTTGCACACTAAATAACTTTTATGGGCCAGTCACGTACCCTCTGAGATTCTCTTCTTTCTGCTGAAGTCCACACATGTTCTCTATGCAAATGCTTTAATCTTCTAGAAGACAGAAATAGAAACAGCCCTGTCAGTCTAAGACAAGACCAAAATTTCTCACATTCTGCAATTCTCTCTGTTACTTCTTCCTTTGGTAAGAAGAAAATGGACTTTCCTAACAGAAATTCAACAGTCTGTTTCAATTTTACATCACTAATTTAACTTTAAAATATCAGATTTCTAGATTTTCTTATCTAGCTGTATGTGAATTGTGGAAATACTTTCGTCTTATTTCACTTGTATTTTGGAAGTATTGGCAGCAGTTGATGCTCCTGCAAGCCTCAGAAGGAGAAATACTTTGAGAAAAGCCTGAAGTAGAAGTAACATCTCCAGGAAGTTGCATAGGACTCTTAATGCTCTTTAACATTTAACACATCAGCTTCTTCTTTACCTCTCTCTGAATTCCATTTTGTAAAGCCAAGTCCATCAGCACCTAATCTTCTGATGTAACAGTCTGATAACCATTGCACAATCATGAGAGATTTTATGTTTCTGCCTGGAGAAGCATCTGTCTGAAATATCATGGATCTAATGAAAAACGCCAGAACGAAGGAAAGTATTTATTTGCAGGAAAGAGTTGGAACAAGTGTGTGGATTAGCAGATGTCACCATTACTTCAAACCTCTCTTGAGATCTCTGCATAAACCAAAGCTGTTTTTGTCGACAGAAACTGTATCAGTTTAACTTCCAAACTTTCAAATAGGGAGTAGAAATGGTTGGCCACAGCACTGATCAAATGATGCTAATGAACATCATCATGGTTTTTATTTGGGAAACATGTATAGAATTTTTAGGAATATGTTTTTAATTACAAATTAGAGTCAGGAATTAAATCACCCACCATTTGTCTCATATGCAAGTATTGCATCCCACTTCCTGGTGTTTTGAGGTTTTTTTTTTCTGTTTTGGTCAAGGAAAGACTGGTCAGGCTCACTGTATTTTTACATGCACTTAATGTTGAAAGATCATCTAGAGTGTTCTACATTTTATCTTTGGGACTCCTTTTTCTAAGCAAAAGATTTGTGCATGCCATGATTTGATACAGTTGAATACAAATTAGGACAGGAATAAATAAATGTGTTGAACTGATTTGAGAGCCCTAATTTATGCCTAAAGTAGCCCTGAGATGAAAAGTTAAAATGTGAAGACCTGTTAAGAGAAAAAAAAAAGCAAATAGGTATACTAGATTTATGTTTTTGTAACTGTGTTTCTATGCAAAACCTACCACCAAAGAGGACATATTCATGCTCAATATTAATCTGAAGTTGAAGGAAAAAGGAAAAAATTAACAACCACTGTTTGACAACAGAATAGCCCGTTAAAGCAGTTTTACACACCTGACAGTATTTTTGATTTACACTGTATCACAGATAGCCCTAATGCCAGCAACAGTACCCTTGAAACATAATTATTTTATTATAATAGAATACAGTACTGTTCTCATATACAATTTCATTATAATGAAATGCTGCTGAGTTCTTTAGAACTGTGAAGTTTAACATCCTAAAGGGTTGCAATGCTCTTTTTTTTTTAATCCATAATTGAGTAAAAGTGAATTGGAACTTTGTTCATTTTTGTGTTATGCGTCTGTGTAAGTGCAAATCAGCGTGTCCCCATTATAATAGTGAGTGCCTGTTCATGCTCAAGCTGCCATCACAAAGGATCAACGATGTTCACATCACTGTCTATAGAAAAAAGATCAGCTGGAATCTGATCCCCTAAGATCCTGACCTGTGGGCACAAATCAAAATCTGGTCCACTTAGTTTCATACTTTAAGGGCTGGCTCTTTCCCCCTAAACCTTTCTGCTGCGTTAAAGAGGAAAGAGAGAATAGGTGAAACTAAATGGGTAAACTTCACTTTCCTGCTGTTATAATAGAGATATAGCATTATTTGTTGTCACTGCATGCCCTGTCTCTTGTCAGAAGGATGTTGTATGATGTCTGTCAGATAAGATGCCTCTTTTTGTCCTGGAATTTGGCACTATCAGTCCCTAATTTAATCAAATTACTAACTCCTGGCTTTCACAGACTTGTCTTGGGTTGCGAAAAAACCAAAAAGATTCTGTAAAGTTGCTTCACTAAACTTTATAACATCAGTTAAGTTGAAGGCGCTAGTGATATTAAAATTTTCATAGTTGCAAGTGGTAGAATTTTAAGTGAAAAGTTCTAACAAAGCGAAAAATGAGGACTTGCTAGAAAACATGATTTCAAAAGATATCCACAAAACCAAGAAATGGCAACTTCCCATATGCCATGAGCCTCTTGTTCTAGCTTCCACTGGAGTTTTTCAAGAGAAACTGAGGGCCCAGCTCAACAGTATGTCACCTCCTGTCTTTCAAAAGGTCCTGTGAGGTTTTAGATGGTATTTATTTAACTGTAGGAAGTGGAAATGCAATGGGGTAGCCGTCAGCCTGCTAAATGTAGCCTTCCAGAAACTACGTGTAAAACTAACTAGGAGGAAGGAGAACAGAAATAAGGTTTTGGGAACTCTTTGTCCCAAGAGATTCTTGGAGACCATATCTTTGTTCAGTGTTGACTATTCTTCTCTCTTAGCTACATCTTCTCAAAACACTACTCCTCCTCTTTTGCCCCTTTAAAAATGCAGTTTCTGGCTTTATTTCAAACATGGCAGAAGTTAAAGAACTGGGTTTTAGGTTACAGATGCAAAATCAGCAAATCAGGGACTTCTCTTCAGGGAATTCTTTGAATTTATATTCACACTCTAATACTTCAAGTATGAGCCAGTTTTGTGCCTTTATAAAAATTTATTAAGCACTTCATAAAACACAAGCCCTAAAAAGTATACATAATCCTTCATATAGGAGCATCACTCCTACAATTCATTTAGAATCTTTTTAGCATTTCTCAGTGTATGTCTACTTTGTCCTGACAGCTTTGGGTACAATACTTCATGTTCATCCACACTACCTACACATTGGCTTGCATCTGGGTTGGGAGTAGAGTGAGATATAGCAGGCATATCAGGGTAAGCTTACACAGGGATTGGGTATCAGCTCTTATTTGTATTTTTTTAATGAAAATTCTTCTTCAGAGATAAGATACAGTTTTAGTTCATGTCTAAGGCTAGAAGTCAGAGGACCAACAAAGTCATTCTGAAGGCTTGAGTCACAAAGAAGCTTTGAGTGAAAAATTAAAATGGAGTTAGGGAATTTATGTCTTGTTGGTTCTTCTTATGCAGGGCAGCAGAAAGTAGAACAGCTAAAATAGCAGCAGCTTCCAACTGAAACTGGAGCTGTGCCAGCATGCTGTTATTTTCCATAAGGCATGTTAGAAAATAGATGTATGTTTAATATGCTTGTGTTCAAAGATTTTTAAAAAAATGTAGGTTGACTAAATGTAGGTGGTGTAGTCTAAGATACAGAGTTAGTAGGAAGTGTGATTTTTTTTAATGCATTTTGTCAAGTATCTCATAGCTAGCTACAAGAGCAAAGAGCAGGAGTTGGAGGCTTCTGAGATGTGAGTCATGGGGGCTGGGGACATACCTGGGAGGGGAAACTCACCTTACCCCTTGGGGTGTGAGGCTTTAAAACATTGTACCAAAAAATCATTCATCTGCTTGGTTGCTTCAGTAGTTGAAATTAAAGCTTTGTTTAAGGTCAGGTCATCTGCAGATTGTAGTTACCTGTAAACTGTAACTGGAAGTGTAATTTGGAAACAGTAGCTCAGGCTGTCCTCAGCTTCAGATGCAGTTTCTCCATTCCTGTGCAGAAGCAGAGAAAACAAATGCATATCTTATGCTGTTCCTACACATCTTGAGTTTGGACTCAAGACAGTGTCAAGTCTGACTGGTAAGTCCCTTGCTCGTAAGGGGTTTGGTCTGTATGGGAAGGTGTGCTGTGTAGAGCTGTGATAGAGAGACAGCTCAGGGAAGAACTCAGCAAGTGAGTTGGGACTGGAATAGCTTTTCCTGAGGGTTTAATCTTTGCTTCTCACTCTGCCTTCAGTACCTGTCATCTGTAACAGACTGGTGGAAACCCTCAACTGTGCATCCCTCTCCACCTCCTATGGGCTCCTAGAGATTTCTATCTGTACTTTGTGGGTCATACATAATAAGCTTTCCAAATCTCAGCAGACTGAAGAATTGTCCTTCTTGAACCTCCTTGGCATATTTTCTCTGTCTACCAACTTTCGCAGAAATAATCTTATATTTCACTTGCTTACAGTCTTGAAAAGATGCTTGATGTCATGGACACCAGATAAGACCAACATACTCTTTCCCGTACTTCCACTTGCATTCTACTTTACAGCTCATTTTGTCAGCAACATAATGAAAATCAAGGAGGATTTTTTCATAGCTTATTTGCAATATATACAACTCTGACAAAAAACAAAACAAAGCAAAACAAAAAACTGCAGTTTTAGACATTTCTCTTTCATTTCATTTGAATTTAGGTTATAATCCTTGCATCATCCCTTCCACTGGATGTGGGTTTCTTTTGAGTTACTGAACCTTCTGCAATGTTCTTCATTCTTTTGGGATTGATCTTGCAGTTGAAGAGCACTTTAGTGACACAAAGAAACATGATAGTCCACTTTTCCTGTGTTGCAGTGTTAATGCTGTTGCAGCTATGATGGCCTGCAGTGGAAGCAAAGCAATGTTACTGCTATTTACCTCTCTCCATAGCACAAAGACCAAGAACAAAAAATATGAACAAGTATATAGTCTACTAAATCAGTTTCTAGAAGGACTTCTAATTAGTAAGACTAATATATCATTAACATCCACAGGTGAGGTTTCCCTGCTTATGGTATCTCAAACAGGAGGAGAGAATTTTCTGTGGGAAAACATAAATAAGATCGTAATTTTAGTTCATAATTTCTGCATCTGTGTTTACAAGAAACATGTAAATGTATCATATTACTATACTGAGGTGCATAATGAAGTATAAAAATATTAATTAATTAATTATATTTTCATACGTCAGGTATATCAGGTAAGTAATGGAAATAATTTTTATTTTAAAAATTAGTCATAGGTTTTGTGTATTAACTGTTCAAAAAGTTGCAATTTTGGTGATTAGTCACTTGGAACATCTCCGTGAATAAACACTTATAAAATGTCTTTTCTTTCTCTTTTTCAGACCTTTATAGTATTGAATAAAGGGAAGGCAATCTTCCGATTCAGTGCCACCTCTGCCCTGTACATTTTAACTCCCTTCAATCCTCTTAGAAAAATAGCTATTAAAATTTTGGTACATTCATATCCTTTTTTAGTGGTTGTTCAAAATGTTACACACTGAAATTAAGAAAACACATATCTATTTAATCCTAAATAAATGTTTTTGTAAGCTGTCATTTTTATTTTACAGTGGAGAACTTATGGTAAGGTTTTATAAATATGAGAAAATATATATGTATTTTATACATGCATTGATTTTTGAATCAAAATATTTTCTTGAATTTCAGTTCTGCTGCAGAAATCTGTCTAAGGATTTAGGAATCCATCTTGATTAATTTTTCAGGAAAGCTTTTTCAGATTTATCATAAGATTGAATTTTTTTTTTTTTTTTTGCATCCCAGATTTTGGGGGTTTTTTTGCACTTAGAAGCCTATTTATAAAATAGTAACATCTTCTAAAAAAATGCAGTTTATGCTCATGAATTCTAGAAGAGTTCTGAGGTTTGCAAGCAGTTAGGCAGATATGCAGCTGTTTAGGATCAGCCAGCTCAGGGTATGTTTATACTGCCTTTTCGTGTTCCTTCTAGGGCCATCCTCAGGATCAGTTTGATCTGTGTTCCTGAAAGCCTGGCTCATGTGTGCTGATTCTCACACTCCCAAACCTGCCCAGTTGCACCATAAGCTTCTGCCAAATTTAATACATTGCCAGAAAGCATAGGCAGCATTCCTGCAGGCGGTTTGCAAAGCATCTGCACATGCAGATGGTGGACAGATTGGGGGTCATAATTGATGGGATGGTGCGCAAGGTAAAGCTTTAGGCTGACGTGTGGGATTGCTGCCATCTGATGATCATAACAGTTTGATGGGAATTTCTGGTGGGTGAGATTTTGGTGCACTTGGGTTTTTTTGCAAAACCTCAGGACTGGGAGATGTAGTTACCAAATTAAAACTTCAGTGTGACAGTAAGACTTTGAACAAGTTGTCAAGGCAGAAGCCTTATCATTAGAGACTGCTGGCAGAATTTTCTAGGTGTTTGGAAAAAGTAAGAAACAAGGCTGATTGATGGTTGCTGACTCAGAATACATTTTCTTCCGAGCTCCTGGGAAGTTAAAGCAGTGAGAGAAGGGGAAGGTATCTGGAAAGGAGTCAGGGAGCATTTGGGGACAGTAGCTAAAGGGACCTGACAGAGTTGCAAAGACACAGTGGTGGTGATGGTGAGAAAGCACGTCCAAATACTGTCAGATTGCAGCCTCTAATGAATGCTCATCCATTCACATGACAGACTGATTTACAACACCTTCCAACTCTGCTTCTGGACTAGTTGTGGGTAATGTTTTTCACTGGCATACTGGTTACTGACTTTGGTCTTGGTTTTAACTTTCTCTTAATTGTGTTCAAAGAGTGTCCAGCTGGTCTCGATGGCAGTAAGAACAAAAAAAAATTCCAATAGACAACATGCAATTTCAGTATTTTTCCTTCTATCTATTAACTGATTGTGTGATCGTGTAATTCAGTTCTACTAAAGGAGGAGGAGGCTTGCCTTCACTATGTGAACTGATTTCTTTTTTGCAAACAGCCGACTATCGAAGGAGCTATTTTTATATTAGATATAGACATAGGATTTTTTTTTTAATCTTAAACATAAGAATAGATGTGTAGGTTATGTTACTTTCTTATTCTTTCTTTTTAAATTATTTTTCATTATGGTGCAAGCACTGTGATATGAAAGAATTTTAACTAAGAACCATGTAATATGTTCCAAACTGTAGTTCAATTTTAGCTACTTATACAAGGTTAGCCACCTGTACAAAAAGGATTATGGGATAAAATTGATTACTATTTTTAATACCTTCTGACTTCTATCTATAAATTCTACTGCCCTCACATTTTCTGGTAAGTGCTGGCATTTTGGCCTTTGTAACAGAAATGTGCCTTTCAGAGTGAAAGGTGAGTGTTGAGCACAATGAAATTGGCACATCTGTTGGAAAACCTTCATCTCTTTGTCCTCCAAATTCCCTTAGCCTCTGTATAGGGCTCTGTCATCACATGTGCCCGGGTGTGTGGGCAGATGTTGTTCTCCCTGCAGAGAAAGAGTGTGTCTCTTCTCAGTGCTCACAGATGTTCCCTACAAATATTCTTCTTCACTGCTGGTACCTGTTGTAATACTGGATACAGGAACTGGTAACAGCATGAATTTCTCTCTGCTGACTCACCTCCTGGTATTCTTCCCTTTTTCTTTTCCCTTTTGTCTGCCTGACTCGAGTTAAGGTAGAGCATGAAAAACTAAGGGGGCAACACAAGAGTGATGGGAGATGGCCAGACTTTGGCAAATAATAGGAAAGGATGAAATGGTGAGAATAGGTGAAGTGTTGAGCAGACAAAAAAAGGGAGGTGACAGTAGCTGGAGCTGCAGAGTGTTAAGGAATGTTAGAAAGGAGTAGGGAGATGTTCTAGAGAACCTCCTTGTGTAAGTCTTTGGAAGCTGAGACTAAAATTCCTCAGTGTGACCTCACTGCTAGCAGTTATCTGTGAAACCAATTGGCAGTGTTTTCTTTTTTTTCCAATCTTCATCTCCCACCAATCCCCACAGGCTATAAGACACTTCAGCTGCTCCTGTGATTGATTAGCTTGAGGCTGTATGATGCCTCTAACCCTACTGCTTGCCTGTAAATCAATCACTCAAAATGTGGGAGAAGACGGAAAAGATGCACAGACATTGAATGTGTCAGCTGCGTTTGAGATTCCCATAAAGGAAAGCATGGTCAGCATTTATATTTCAAAGTATGTTAGCCCTTACTGAGCAGCTGTTCTGTTTGACAGTGAACAGCACTTTGGCCCTGCAGCTCACAGACTGAGCAAGGACCTACCCATGGCCTTTGTTATGAATGATAACTTACCGGAAAGCACGTAACACACTGCACAGGGATAAAAACTCAGCTCTCCTAAGAGGACATTGTACTTTAACTCTTATGAGAAAACAGAAGCTGCAGCCAGGCATCTCCAAGTTGGATTTCAAAATGGATTCTCTTTATTTAAAGGAATTTCTCCATTATATTAAGACAGACTCTTTAGAGCTGTCTGTGGACTGTGATGAAAAACACTGTAAGACATTCTAATAATTTATTCTAAGGCACCAAACAATTTTTACTGTACAAAGGTTGTACGACAACATGGTCTTCAAAAACTAGTTAAGTCACTTACTGGAATAGATAACAATATTCACTGCTGGGTCAGGCATTCAGACAAAGGTCTCATACCTGTCTATGGGAATCAGACAGCTAAATCCTTCCCTGTGATTTACTTTTTATTTGAAAAGATATGCTCAAGTTTGAATTTTTCAGTAGCTGTAAGCAATGATCTTAATGATTGCACCAATCTTCTGACAAGTTTAGACCAGGGTGTTACTTCTCCTATTCTTCCTTCACCTAGAATAAAGGGTGTTTTTCTTGTTTGTGTTTGTTAGTGGTGGTAGTGGTTGGTTGGTTTAGTTTTTGTTTCATTTTAGTTTTGTCCATGGTAAAAAATATACCCCAAACAACAACAACATACTATCTACTTGATTAAAAAAAAAAAAAAAAAAAACACTAAAAACTAAAAAATTAAGTCCTGGGCTCTCAGATACAAGTTTAGCTGTAAGTAGCTTTCTTCAGTTTAAACCAGCTTCTTTGTCAGTTATGCTGATGCAACTACTTTTAAGGAACACCTCAGTTAGAGAGATGACTGGAGAAAAAAAATAAGAGTTAAGCATTTGTTATAAATGTGAAGCAGAGAATTTTTGCTGCCATCCCGTGGCCATTTTGAGGCATGTTATTGTCTAATTTTGTTATTTCAGTGTTTCCAAATGTTTGAATAATTGAGTTTATGGTCATAAAAAGGGAAGGATTGCACTGCCTGTAGAGCCAGTGATCTGGTAAACCAAGAACATCACATTGAGTGTAATGAAGCCCCAGTGGACAGTCGGATCTCCCTAGAACCGGCCCTTCTGAGCTGTTAGGCTGGGGTTCATAGTCCCAGGACACCTAAATGCTCCTTGCTGGAACTTCAAATGAAGATTCATTCTCACCAGTTTTAGTCTTCACTGGTTTTCCATGCTTTTCAAGCAATTGACCACGGAGTACTATTGAATAAGTTTCAAATTATAGCATTGGTAGAAACAGAGGCTGCCTTTGCTGTTAACACGTGTTTTGAGAGAGCCCAAAAGTAATACTGGAAAATTATTCACCTTAATCTGAGAGCTCTCTGTGGATTTCTGTTTCACTGACTGAAGCATGTACTGCTAAGCTAGTGTTAGGGAAACATGAAATGCAGTCACTTCAGCAGTTAAATCAGTACTCTGTGTTTTGTTCTGTTCTTGACAGACTGGCTGTGCTAGGTGCTGGAGTGGTGCTGACTCAGCTCAGCTCTGACTCAGGGTGAAGAGGGGAAATATTTTTTACCTTGCATATGCCAGCTCTTGAGTTTAGTACCAAACCTGTAGAACTGAAAAACTAACACTTATTCAGTCATGCCGGGTACTTAAGGCAAACTGTATTCTTCCACAAGGTGTTTCAGTTTTGCCTGTTGCTCAGCTGGTGTTACCTCCCAGGGTGTGAGAAGCCATTTCCTTCACCTTTCAGTACCAGCTTAAAACAAAACCAACAAATCAACATCAGAACATCAACAAATCAAGACTAATAGTAAAGTTTAATGCGCTAAACAGAAAACTATAAAGTTAAGGGAAATGTATAACAATGTTTTGAAAGTCTAAAAGATTTGTGTAAGTGGCAATGTTTTACTGTACATAAGATATATGACTGATATGATGTTGTGTGAATTACAGTTGTTTTCCTTAATTATATCTACATTATTTAGCATGCTTATCATGTGCACTATTTTGACCAACTGCGTATTTATGACCATGAGTAACCCTCCAGACTGGACAAAGAATGTAGAGTAAGTTGCACATTATTTAAATATATCTTTGGCTGTTCCTCTAGAAGTCAGCATGCCAATAACTGCAGTGTAAGGTGTGCTTGCACACCTTAAGATGTTAGTGATTCAGACAGTATCCGGTAACTTATCTCCACAGCTTACTCAATTAACAGTAATAGTAGTGTTGCATATTTTTAAACTGAATGTCACTAATAGATTTTTAATATATGCTATCTGTTTTTTGGATTTATTTATTTTGATTTATGTGCAAGACCAGCACTGCTGTACTTCGACACCAGGTCACAACTAGTGCATGTAAATACACAAGTGCCTATCATGAACACAGTGCATTTTAGAAGAAATTGCTTATTTACTTTATTTCTTCTGCAGTTTTGAAATAAAAAACTCTTTCGTTTGATCATTATGTTTTTGCCAGAATATCAGTGGAAATATTTTGATTAAATTTTTCCTATATTTTTCAGGTATACGTTCACTGGAATTTACACATTTGAGTCACTAATAAAAATCATTGCAAGGGGCTTTTGCTTAGAAGATTTTACTTTTCTTCGGGATCCATGGAACTGGCTTGATTTCACTGTCATTACCTTTGCGTAAGTTTTTGTTTTTTGCTTTTTCTTTGGAAGTGAAGGGCAAAAAGGGCATGAAATTAGTATCAATACATATCAATTTTGTTAAATGGAAAATCATATATGAATTTACTGTTGTCTAAAACAATTTTTACGTTCTAAAATGCATATTTTTATATAAACATAAATACTGCAGAAGCCATTAGTACAGCTAGTATTAGTGAGGCTAATTTCATGTCCTGCTTTTTTTTTTTTTTTTCTGAGCAGAAAAGGAACTTCCCTTTGACTTCATTCTCCAAACTTACCAATCTAGTCTAGATAAATTTTAGGCTTTCAAAGTAAAGTCAGTGCAATTCACTTCAGAGACATTTAATTTAGCTGAAGGCTCTGAAAGTGTATTAATGCAAGGCAAACTGCAGTGAAAGGTAAACCTCTGACTGTTGCTATTTAAGTTTTTGCTAAAAACGCCAAAGCGGTCTTGATGAAAGACCCAAGTAAGTAGCATAAACTTTGCCTAAATTCTGAATAACTGTGATTTAATCCTACAGGTATGTAACAGAATTTGTAAACCTAGGCAATGTTTCAGCTCTTCGAACTTTCAGAGTATTGAGAGCTTTGAAAACTATTTCTGTAATTCCAGGTAAGAAGTAACTGGTGTAAGGTGTTAGGCCCCTTGTACCTCCCAACTGTTCCTTTTTATCCTGTCATTGTGTTTGTGTGTGAACTCCCCTATTACAGATATGTGACAGAGTTTGTGGACCTGGGCAATGTCTCAGCGTTGAGAACATTCAGAGTTCTCCGAGCTTTGAAAACAATATCAGTCATTCCAGGTGAGAGAGTGGTTAAACACTGAGGCTGACTTTAATTCATTGAAATGGAATTCATATTTATTTAAACATAAATCTTTCCACCAAAAAAAGCAGGAATCAGACGATATCAGAATTCACTGAAATCTCTGATTATTTGCTTTTTAACATGAGCACTTTCCTTTTGAAATCAGCCTTTGAGTTTAACAGATTCTTGCATGAGACATTGCAGTACACAGTGTGTGTGGTTTGCATCGTATGACGTCAAGCTTTCTTCTCCACATTCAACGAGTAGCAGTATCCCTGAAGTTTTTTTACCCATATGTATCTTACCTACATGATGTTATGTGGTATTTGTTGTGAATATTTGTGTGTACAAAATAGAACTGTCTGAAATGTTGACTTAGTAAGAAGATGAAGGAATAAGATAATAAAGAATAGCATGGGCATTGCATGGGGGATTTATTATCTTAAAAATACAAAATTTTCCAAACCATTTCCAGTTTTATAGCATTCAATTTTAATCCCATTTATTGTTGAACAGGCTTTTTACTACTGTCTTCTAAATCTAGTATGTTATAAAACTGATAGTGGCAAAGGTTTGGAGCAAGAGGTATTGACAAATGAAAAGTAAGAAGACTTTTATGTGAGATTCATGTACAGCATGAAAAAAAATAGTTGCTTGTTTTATCATTAAAACAAGTGTTTTGAAATATATGCAACTCATTTCCATTCACGGTTTCAAATGAACATAAATGTCAGCTATTTATTCATTTTCACAAGTGAAAAAGCTCTTCACAAAAATGTTGTTTCACAGACATTACAATCATTTATTTGGGCTTATGCATGAAATCTGTGACTTTACTGGGAAACACTGTCATTTTTATGCTTTGAAAAAGTTTCCAACATCAGAATAAAAATTCCTTTCCATTTGCAGGCCTGAAGACTATTGTGGGAGCCCTAATTCAGTCTGTGAAGAAGCTCTCAGATGTGATGATCCTGACTGTGTTTTGTCTGAGTGTATTTGCACTGATAGGGCTGCAGCTGTTCATGGGCAACTTGAGGAATAAATGCCTGCAGTGGCCTCCAGAAAACTTTACTTTGGAAACAAATATAACTTCCCAGCTTAACAGCACCATAGCTGAAAATGGTACACTGGTTAATTCAACGGTGACTCCGTTTGACTGGAAGGGGTACATTGAAGATGAAAGTAAGTATTGTCTGCAGAGTTGTCACTGTTTGTGGCTGACCCAGTTCTTAGAAGTAAGGAGGGGAAGGGATAATACATTTAGTTAAGACAGAGCAAGAGAAGTGTTCTCTCTCTCTCTTATAGGTCTGCTCCAAAGGCCTGTGTGAAAGAGGGAACACGGGCCATGGTCTTACTACTTGATATAGCTCTTTTTCTCAGCTCCATCTGCCAAATTCACATCTTCCCTGGAATAGAAAGGAGTTCAAAGGAGTCTTAAAATTACTTAATAGTCTTAAACATTTTCCTTTCCAATACTCCAAAGCAAGATCAGCAGCAGCATGCTGTGTCATTTCTGACAGATATCAGAGACTTCTGACATAAAGTGAGAAGTCCAGTGATGAAGTCCTCAGCATTTTCATCATTCATCCATTCTTGTGCTTCGTTATCGTTATTATTAGAAAGGGAATTTTTTGAACTTCAGCAGATTTTTCTGCTAAAATTTATATTTAAAATATAAATAATTAATATTAATATAAATTAATGCAACAAAAGCATCAAAGCCAAATTATTCCCTCCTATTAATCCCTGCCTCTGGAGTATTTGGAGACTTATCTTATGTTTCCATGCTGTGTTCTCTCCTCTTTCAGTCTTTTATTTTAAACAACCCAGATCATGAACCGTTTTCTCCTACGATGTATTTTCTAGATGTTGATCTCTCATCTGGATTCTTTCTTGTTCATAAACATCCTTTTTAAAGTACAGTACCCACATCTAGGCATTTCTCCTCCACACAAGGAGTACTAAGCAGGGAAGAAGGATGATGTGATAGCATAGTGACTTATACTTCTGTTTTATATATCCTCTATAGCTTTCTGTTATTTACAACTGTAGCATTGTTCAGCTTGTTGTCTACCTGTTCCCGAATCTTTCACAGATTCCTACCTCACTGAGTTTTCACTTTGTGTTTGTACAGTTCAGTGTTCCTGCCTGAACAGCACCTTATCTTTTAAGACCATCTCTCCAACTGTCCTGGACCTTTTAAATTGTAATTGGTTCCTCAAACTCACCACCATCCTTATTAGATCAGTATCATTTGTATATTTGTTAAGCATTCTTCAATAATCTAGATTAGTTAAAACCTTAAATAGCAGCAATCTTAGAGAAATGCCTTCAGAAGTTGTTTTGGTGCATCTTTCCACTTTGATAATTTCCTGAAGGATGGTTTCCCACAGTTTTGCTGATACAGAGCAGTCTGGCAAACTGAGAGTAGATAGAGAAATGCATTTCAGTGCAGTTAAACGTGAGAGGACAAACCTAAGCTCCTTATCCTACATATCAATGCAGTTCTCTTGAGACAGGTTTGCATGCATAGAGACTGTAGCTGATGGCATACATAATCTCTAACAGTGAAAGTTACTTTTGATGTAAATTAAGAACTAAAGGGGGGAGAGGGACAGAAAAGGGAAGAGGAAAGGGAGAACTGACCACAGTGACCAGCTGCAAAAGAAGTGGTGGGATCCCCTAGTAAGTCTTCTCCCTTGGGTATCCTTTTTAGTGCAGCAATGATCACTCCACAGTACTTCTCCCATAGCAACTGAGAGTTTTTCATTAGCATCTCCTCAAATTCCCTACAGCTCTCTCCTTCTTACAGTGCTATTAGTACTAATTGGAATGCACTTTGATCAGAGTGGGTGCTGCATGTCTGCTTGGTTTTTAAGCTCGTACATGCATGTTATTAGGTCATAATGTAAACCAAAAGCTGCAAGCAAGGAGAAGGAAAATGCGGGAGAAAGAGGGGTGAATCTCAGACCAGGGACAATTGCTTCCTGCTGCAGCAATAGTGTGTTTGCAAGTGTAATGTCACAAGAATAAAAATTACATGAAAAATAGCATGAGAACATAGGAAAAATAGTACCACAGAGGCTCTGGAAAACAATTCCACAGCAGCTTATGTGTAAGGCTGCAGAGCAACAGAGAGGCAGGATATAGAAATGCAGTTGGAAGGCCCTTAATAATAGAGAGGCTGAGGCACCTAAGGCACTGTGGAGCAGCCAGGACTGACAAATTAAGGCTAAAACTCTGCAGCCAAAAAGCTAAATAATATCCTGTTCTCATAAATAAATTATTGACTGGGAAGGCAGAATTACCCCTGCATTTAGCACTACTGCATTTGCTACTGGAATACTATATAAAGTTCAATTTAGATAGAATGTTGAAAAAATGAAGGATGTTCAGAAAAGAGCAGAATGATTAAAGGGTTGGAAAATATTCTTTATACCAAGATAGACCAGGAGCTCAGCCTACTTAGCATATCAAAGAGGAGGTTTAAGGGGTGATTTGATCACAGTTGAAAAAAAACCTCATGGGGAACAGAAATTTCATTCTAGACATATCTTTGATCTAGCAAAGATATAACAGGTTCGATAGCAGCAAGTCAAAGCCAGACAAATTCTGAAGAGAAGTAAGACAGCTTCCAACTATGATCACACAGCTGAGCAATGACTATGATGGATTTCCAGCTGAATTTCTCAAATAAGGTTTTTTTGTGAAACTTAATTTACTTGAACATGTGAATTCATGGAGATCCCATGCCATGGGGTATAATGAAGTCTAAGCAAAGCCTCCTAGTGAAGACCTAGACTTCAAGCCCTATCTTTATTTCCTCACTTTTTAACACGAATGTATAAATTCAGGTTCTGATTTCATTTGATTTAAAAAGACCTGAAGCTCCCTGAAAACAAAGCTGAATTAAATTAGTTACAGAAAGTACTTTATTGAATGGCTACGTGAGCCTTCAGTAGATTCACACAGGATTTCATATGTATTATGAAATTTATTATTAAATTATGAGTCTTATTATGAAGTTATTAAGCTTATCCTTGCTTACCAGCAGTTTCAAAGGGAAAAATTATCTTCTAATGGCTTCCTGCTCTCTTTTTGCAGGTGGGCAGACAGGATACAGAAACCAGCTGCATCATAGGGCGGGAGGGGGTTTACCTGCAGCTCAGAGCAGTGCTATGACACTGTATTTTGTAGGAATTATAGGAGTATTTATGCTATTAGTTGTGTATACTATGTGAAGAAGGCAGGTAAGACCTAATTTTGCCACTGAGCTCATTTTTGAAGATGCCATTTAGAGGGTCTTTATGTAAGCATTCCTGTCAAGCACTCTTTTTTTTTTTTTTTTTAATCTCCTTTTCTTTTTCCAAGATAGAAAATCTGATAAACTTAGTTCTGGATAAGCTGAAGTTTATTTTGGCAAGCTTTCCATAAATACTTTTTTTTCTGGGAAAAACAATCTCATGATCTGTTTTGTGAAATAAAAATTATTCTTAGTCATTTCCCTATGCTTACCTGAACAACTATAAATCCCCTTGAAATGCACACCTACCAGAGATTTCCCATATCCCAATCAGTTAAAAGGGAGGCAAACATATACCTTTTATAAAGTGAGAGATTCTTCACACTACTTTGGCAAAACACAGTTCAAAGTTTTGCACCTGGCATGCTTATGCTGCTCAGCTTGTGTGTTAGAAGAACTTTGCTATGATGATAACATTGTGAGCACCTGTCCTGGTTGTATCAGTGTACTCAGAGAAAGCCTGAATGGCTCTTTTCCTGTGGAGCTGGCAAGTACAGCGTGCTCACAGAGCACATCTTGTCTGAAGGCCAGAACTTGAATGCAGACCCTGTTGTAGCAGTTCAGCTCAGCTGGTGCAGTACTGATCATGAGTGACTGCTCCATGTACACTATATCAAGGCAGGTTTGCATTCTTCCCATCAGCTGTTGTGTTCCAGCATGTTTTAATCATGATTAGCTGACATAATGCAGAATAAGATTTGCTTCCTAAGGGTCAGTTGTGGGCAGCATCCTGTCAGCTTACTGTTTACAGCTGTGTTTCAGCACAGGGCACTTTGCAATGCACACCAGCCCAGAGGGACAGCGGCTGCACACAGGGCTGTGCACTTCACACAGCACAGGAGATTGTTCTCTCTAAGTTGCATATATATCATCAGACACTGAAAATGAGTCCTTCACAGAGTGTCAGAACAAGGTCTACGTGCAGCTTACAGTGCAGTTTTTCAAAACAGTGGATTTTGTTCACAGGATGGAGGGATGCAGCTGGCCCGGGTACAGTGTCCCTCCTGCAACAAATCAACGTGCTCAGCCAGCAGCTTGTGACACCTCCTCAGACTCAGAATTCATTAATGTCTGTAGTAACCTGGCTTGGGCAGCTCAGACAGCCTGAGGCAATGTTTTCTGTCTCCATCAAAAATGGAATATTGGGCAATGTGGTCTAACCCTGTATAAATTTCATCCTTAAGCCTGTGACCAAGTGGGACATAATTACTACAGGAGGAAGCTCCTCCTGTGATAATTCTTCCAAAAATCAAACACTTCTCAAGGATACAGTCAAAATGAATCTTACTAAGCATGAAGTTTTAATCATTTCTTTGTTCCTCTAAGAAGAGATAGGTAAATGTCTTTGTTATTTAAAACATCTAAAACGTCCTTTAACAACAGGATTACTCTACAGACTGTGGGATGGTTGGTTACAGGGTGATTTGGTGGAACTTACCCAATAATTTTTCCTAAGGTTTTCAATAATTTTATCACGTACTCTTAAAATCCTGCCTACGCAAGTGGGTGACTGCTGTAGTAATTCTGTCTGAGTTAAATTTAGGTGTGTAGCAGGACCCTCCTACCAGCAGGCTACCTGCACATGTTACGAGCCATGGGCAGCTGACTGGATTTTTTCAGAGTTTACATATTAGATAACTGTCACGAGTATTTTGTAAGTGACAAATTGGAATCCTTGGCAATACAGATTGGAAAATTTAGTTCAGTGATCAGATGGAATGGAGAGTCTACATTCAGAAGCATTTGACAGAATTTTTAGGACATTTTGGCATTTTAACAGTAAGTGCTGTGAGTGATAGCACTTACTGAAATTCATAAAATCATTTACTCTCAAGTTATGGTCCTGCTGAAAAAATAACACTGCTTGTTTAAAATTGCATCTGAAATCACCTTAACACTTGGAGAGCGGAGATGTTTATTTCATAGAGCTTTAAGCTGACTTTTATATTTGGAATTCTATAACTTTTTTAAATTCTTTTCTAAACAGGTCATTTTTATTTTCTGGAAGGCCAAAATGATGCTCTGCTTTGTGGAAATAGTTCTGATGCTGGGTAAGACCAAATTTCATTATCTTATTGCACTGTATACAAATTAAATTCATGTTCTGTAGCTGTGCAGTTGAAGGGAGGCTCTAGTTTGAGTGACCACTTCCTTTCACATAAGAAATACTATGATTGTATACTGTACATAGCACAGTGGATTGGTTAGATGAACTTGGAGTGAATGAATATTTCTGTATTAGTGTATCTCCTGCCTGGTTGAAAAGTAATTGGAACGGGTATGGGAAAATGCATGTTATTTTGCAGTTCCGGCTGCATATATGAAAGCATCAACATCCAAATGATATTAAAATTACTAAATAGGTAATATCCAGTTTGTCTTTGTAGGCAGTGCCCAGAAGGATATACATGTGTGAAAGCTGGTAGAAACCCCAATTATGGGTACACAAGTTTTGACACCTTCAGCTGGGCTTTCTTGTCACTATTTCGCTTGATGACTCAAGACTTCTGGGAAAACCTTTATCAGTTGGTGAGAAATTTTTAATTAAAAATACACTGAATATTTTTGTATCAGCAATGCAAGAGAGCTAGAGTAAATTTTCTTATCTTAATTTTTAACAGCATGAAAAAAAAGAACTTTTGTTAACCTATTCTTACTTATAAATGTATTATTATTTCCAGACCCTGCGTGCTGCTGGGAAGACATACATGATATTTTTTGTTCTGGTGATTTTTCTGGGCTCTTTCTATCTGATCAACTTGATCCTGGCTGTGGTTGCCATGGCCTATGAAGAACAGAATCAGGCAACCTTGGAAGAAGCAGAGCAGAAAGAGGCAGAATTTCAGCAGATGCTGGAGCAACTGAAGAAGCAACAAGAAGCAGCTCAGGTATAATTTATGTTGTAGTAATGCAGAAGTGTATGGAAGTGATTTTATTAGGAATATTCACCATCTGCTTTCTGAATTTGGAGACGTAAAACACCCTACTGGCCTTTCAGCAACAGAGCTAGCTCACAGGTTTTCTGTTCTGCACTGAAGATGTATTGTAAATGATTCAGCCATCAAGAAGGAATATTCAAGACTAGATATACATTATCCACTATGTTTTTCTAGTCCAGTGTAATTAATACAGTCTGTTAGACTTCTGCATTTAAAATCTACCCAGGAGGAGTGGAAAAAGGTTATGACCAACACATATCTTGAGTCAGTTGAGTAATTATTAAAAAAAACTAGGGAGAGGATATCCTATAGAAAGTGTTAAGACCTAGGACATTTGGACTAGAAATTATATATAAGTAAATTAAAAAAAAAATATTATGGTTTGCTTGTTGACATAAATTCTTTCTGCGTCATGGCAGGCAGCAGCAGTGGCAGCAGCAGCAGTAACAGCATCTGCAGAGTCCAGGGAGCCCAGTGCTGGAGGAGAAGCAGGAGGGCTCTCCGAAAGTTCCTCAGACGCATCAAAATTGAGCTCAAAGAGTGCAAAAGAGAGGAGAAATAGAAGGAAAAAAAGAAAACAGAAAGAACAGTCTGGAGGAGAGGAAAAGGATGAGGATGAATTTCACAAGTCTGAGTCAGAAGACAGCATCAGAAGGAAAGGTTTCCGATTGTCTATTGAAGGCAATAGACTGACATATGAAAAGAAGTATTCTTCTCCACATCAGGTATTGCATACAGTTATATTTAGTAAAACCATACATTTAAACCATCATACACTGTTGCAAAACTACTTTAGTCTTCCTAGAACTGCTGCCTAAACAAAGGAAGCACTGAGATTTTTATTAAGCTTTATTTGTATTGCTAGTTCTTGAGAGCAAGTGCTCTAGCTGCCTGGTAAAAAAAAAAACCCAGAATTAAATATAACCTCATGTCTCTATTCTTCTAATAGGATTATTTAAAAATCATATTAAAATTTTCTCTGATTGATTCTGTGGGGTTTTTTTAAATCATGGTTATATATTACCTAGACTTATTAAAATGCCACAGTATATTTCCATTATCATAGACTAATATATTCCTCCTGCTTCAATGAAGTTTGAACCAGCATTTGTTCACTATGGGCAAGATGCTGCATACATGAAATAATGTGAATGTATAGATTTCTCTTTTATCTTGGTGGGCACTATGTAACTAATCTGTTCAGCAGCTCTAGCTGAGAAAGGAGTGCTCAACGCTGGTTTTGTCTTAAGAACCCATGAACAGTGATATTTCTATTCTGCAATATATATATATATAATGAGATACATAAAAAAGTGTCACAGCAGCATTTAACTTCTGGATAAAATGGTTACTCTTATGTAAGAAAAAAAGAAAACCTATGCTAACCTAACAACAGTGCTAAGTTTGAGGATTTCAGCAAATAATCACGTATTTTGTTTTCCTACAGTCTTTGCTGAGCATTCGCGGCTCCCTCTTCTCCCCAAGGCGCAACAGCAGAACAAGTCTTTTCAGCTTCAGAGGTCGAGCAAAGGATGTTGGATCAGAAAATGACTTTGCTGATGATGAGCACAGCACTTTTGAAGACAACGACAGCAGAAGAGACTCTCTCTTTGTGCCGCGCAGACACGGGGAACGGCGCAACAGTAACATTAGTCAGGCCAGTAGGTCATCCAGGATGCTGGCAGTGTTTCCAGTGAACGGGAAGATGCACAGCACTGTGGATTGCAATGGGGTGGTTTCCCTGGTTGGTGGACCATCTGTTCCTACATCGCCTGTTGGACAGCTTCTGCCAGAGGTGATAATAGATAAACCAGCTACTGATGACAATGTAAGAAAGTTTTAAATAGCTTAGGCATGGTGGCCTTTTCTTACTGCACCAGCCAGTGTTTTCTACAGAATGGAACCCTTGGCAATGCTCCCTGGTTGGTCAAGCTGTGAATGCTCCTGCATCTTGTAAAATCTTTAGTAGATAAAAGAGCTTAGATAGGTTTGCAACCTAAGCATCTACTTACAAAGATTCTCATAACTAACAAATGCAATTTGCAGTTTCCAAGTAATAAAATATTAACTTACACGTTCATAAAAATGCTATGCTTTACTGTATTACTCTGCCACACTTTCCTTTAGCTAATCTAAAGGTCCATCTAGCAATCATAGTTGGCATACAATTGAAATTATTATAGAAAAATGTTATATAATTGCAATCAATATGATACTGCTATTACATTATCAAAATTAGCATTATTAGTTAATTTTGATAACAGTCTTCCTTATCAGCCTGGTTAAAAATGTAAGGAAGTTGTCAATTCTTTATTATCATTTATTTCTCATTCCTATATATTTTACATCCATATCTGGTGGAGTTCTGTACTACAGATAACAAATAGTTCACTGGAAGATCACAGTTCAATACACACTTCCAAAAATACAATTGTCTATGTGAACATATGTGCAGCACGTATTGCTGCCGTTCTCTTACCATATACAAGGTAAGAGAAGAAGTCTAAAAAAAATTTCTTGCTTAGTTCAAATTTGTCCACTCACATTGCTAAAAAATACTAGCATGAGGAAGCATGAGGAAGTCAGACTTTTCTTACTTGCTACAGTTTGCTTAGGGAAAAGATTGCTGTGTTACAAATCCAAGAATATTCTGTCAACAGGAGCAAGGAAAAAAAATTACAGTTTGCAAAACCTTATGCAATATTTTGAACTCAATGCTTTTCCATTTCTTTTAATGGTTTTGAAGGAAAGAAATGCAAAAGTGAATAAACTCTCTCTCAATCTTGAACAGTAGATAACTATGGCTGAATGCCTTTTTAAAATTACTGAAAAGATACTAAAAAGTAATAAAAGTCCGACATGATAAAAAATGAAGAGCACGAAGCACGTATCCAAGCTAAGATATTAATAACAGGGTTATATAGTGTTTACTCATTCAACATGATCTCACCAAATATTGTTCTCTGTACAGGGCACCACGACAGAAACAGAAATGAGGAAGAGAATATCAGGCTCTTTTCACGTTTCTATGGACTTCCTGGAAGACCCAGCTTTAAGGGAGCGAGCCATGAGTATTGCTAGCATCCTCACAAACACTGTGGAAGGTGTGTTCCATGCATAGCTTAATATTTAACATCTGTTTTCCCATGAATTTCTGAAAATTTGCATTGAAATGTAAAAACTGATTTAAAATAGCTTAAGTAACAGATAACATCCCAGAAACTTGAACATAATTTTTAGCAAACGCAAAGTTTTTTATTTATTAAGGTTATTACATTAGCAAGCATTAAAGTTATTACATATGTAAGCATTTATATCTTATAATTTTGACACCATCTAACCCATGTAGATGGTCATAGCGCAGTGGATGCTTATGCATGGTAATTAAATATATTATTGGACAAAAAAAGGCAACTGAAAATTTTTCAAATGTTCAAATATGAAACTTATTAAAATATATATGTATTTTAGCAGCTACATTTATTCAGTTACTCTTTAAAGAAGTGCTATTCTAGGTGATCAAAATGGTTTTTTCTTGAACTAGGAATGAAAATTTTTACTTAAATTTTACAAATTTCAAAATAAAAATATTTACATACCAGAACAATAGGTGTAAAAAAAAGGCTGAAGAATAATCAAGGAAAAATTAAATACATAATACAAATTGATGCATAAATTGATGCTGATTGGCATAGTGATAGGCTTTGGACACAGTAAATATATTTGATAGCAATTTTTAAATACCAGTACAGATTGACAATTTGACTGGTACAATTCATATAGGGGTGAGGAGGGTTAGAGCAATCACAATTTTAAAATTACCTTTTTAAACTTTCTTTTGCCACAGAACTCGAAGAATCAAGACAGAAATGTCCACCATGTTGGTATAAATTTGCAAATATTTTCTTGATCTGGGACTGCAGTCCACATTGGCTAAAAGTAAAACATATTGTCAACTTAGTGGTAATGGACCCATTTGTTGACCTGGCTATTACAATTTGCATTGTTTTAAATACACTCTTTATGGCCATGGAACATTATCCAATGACCGACGAATTCAATAATGTGCTTTCAGTTGGAAATCTGGTAAGTCTGCTGGGTTTTTATGCCATGATTTGTAAGGAAATATGTCTGAAAAAGACTGAAAGGAGGAATTTTGACAGCTGAGGGGTTTATTAACTCTTCATAAAGTAGAATTATTGTATATTTATTCATCTCTGGGTATGAGTATCAGAGCATTTTTTGAAATTTCACCACCAACCCTGATTCATGTAGCTTAGGATACTGTAAAATCAATATATTGCAGTGTTCTGCAAAATCAAATTAAAAATTTAAAAATTGGCTCCAATGCTACATTAAGTGAAGTCCATCTTAAACAGAAGTTGATTTGTGTAACTACTAAAGCAGGAAATGCATTGGTTCCATGAAAAAGACTCTATCTAAATAAATGTAGTGTTAATTTCTCAATCAATACAATACAAATCTTTAAATTATGAATGTGTTTTTAATTGCTGTTTCCTGAGCAGAAGTTTACAATAGCTAAAATGTCAATTTAAAAGCATTTCTAGAATTTTCTTCTGTAAACAACTTTTTATGTGGATAATGGATTGTTTTCTTTATATGCTTTATGTGAAAAATATCCTGCAGTACTTTTTCCCCTTATATTTGTTATTGTTTTTATCCTCAGATAATTAGTAAGATTTTTTTTCCTCATATTGTCAACTATATTTTCTCCCTTCTACTTCAAAAAGATAAATTATTAAAGATTTCAGGAGTTAACTTTTTGTAGCTCTCATGCTTTTGAACTGACAGGTTTGATCACATAGAAGTATCTGCAGCTGCAGTCCTACTTTATTTCTTATTTTAAGAATTGATTTCTTATAATGGGATTTTTAATAATCCTTGTTTTGTGATGAGGAAAAAATAGATCATGTAAATAACTACAGGACTTAGGAGGGAGAAATAATAGATAATTGTATAGCTGATTTTCATATACTTGAAAAAAATTCCATATAAATCTTAGTGTATATCTGACTATGAAGGGTGTGTCAGAGAACCTGGCTGTAAGCACCATGCTCTTCCATTTTTGGGCTCCCTGACATAAACCCCTCCTGCAATACAGAGGCTCTCAAGGGTTGCATGAAACTCCTTGAGAACCTTCCTGTCCTGATTGTTAGGAACCTTAGTCAGCGTTTCAAACTGTATTTATCATTCCTATATCTTCCTCGGGGATTCCAGTCCTGTAGCTTAAAAATTTGTGACCTTTCCCTCTCTGGTGTCTGCATATAGAATGTATTTAAAGACTGTAACAAAATCTATCTTGAGTATTGGTGTTCCTAGGCAGAGCAAGTCAGGCTCTTCTTTCCCATCTCCTGATTATCCCAGTTAGGTTATTCTCTTTAGCTGTCCCATTTTCTGTTCAGCTTGCTAGAAAACAGGTTATTGAAACCAAAAAAAGAAAGCATTTCAGAGCAGGGCTTGAGCAGTCTTTAACTGTGGCTTTAGTACATCCCTCTCCTACAGGAAATTCTCCCAAGACTTCTCTCAAAGCTACTCAGGGTCATTACCTTGGTGGCTCTTAAATATGATTCCTAATTCATTCAGCATTGCATCCCATGATGAGAAGCCATTACCAGCAATACCCTGTTAAAAAAGCATTCTTAAATGCTCTTTCATTCCTGACATCAAAGACATTGAGGCAGCAAGCTTCACTGAACTTACTGGCAACACCCAGGTAGAAGTTACTCAGCTTCAGCAAATTGTTGTATCTCAGTATATTATAATGTATCTCAGTGTCTCCATCAACTGCAATAGATTATAATGTACCATTTATTCATCTTGTATAAAAAAATCATTAGGTCTGTTAAACTGAATGGCACGTTATAGCAGCAAAGAAGCTGCCCCTCTGGCGTCTTAGATTTGGCCTCATTTGTAATTCCTATACCAAGAAAGATGTTATACCACGTAATTTCTTGGAAAGCATTCTGGTTTATATTCTGAAAATCAAATTTGGGATATTTTTTGTACAGCACACGAGAAAGTCCATATCCTGACAGAGTTGAAATTGGATTATAAATGCTGTTTGTGTAATTTGTATAGTACAAAACTTAATTAATTGAAAAATTACTTGGTTTGTATGGTACTTGTTAAGAGAAGCGGGCATAATAAATCAGTAAACAGAACTATTCTTAAGTATCAGTTTTGGATAAGACATTGCAGATATGTATCTTGAATTAAAAACCTAGACAACAACTAAATCTGTAGTAGTATATTTCACAATGAAGTAACAAACTGCACTTTGAACACAGGTCTTCACTGGAATCTTCACAGCGGAAATGTTTCTCAAGATAATTGCAATGGATCCTTACTATTATTTCCAGGAAGGCTGGAATATTTTTGATGGTTTCATTGTAACCCTTAGCTTGGTTGAGCTTGGTCTTGCAGATGTGGAAGGACTATCAGTTCTTCGATCATTCAGATTGGTAAATATACATCAACTGCACTGATTTTTCAATGGAGCTTCATTAAAATTATTTTATTTTTGCCTTAAAAGTTTTCTTGATGTTTCCCATGATACTGATCCTGACGGCACTTTCATTAGTGCAAATCCTTATTAATTGCAGTATCACACTGTCTTCAGTGGGAATTTATAGAGATACAGACAGACAGCAGGGGTGCCCTGGGCCTATTTCCAATGTATCTATTGCACATACGTACTTTAAACATCCTGCTACGCAAAAGTAAATTGACTCTCAAAATATATTGTGCTCTGATTTGCATTACAGGAAGAGATATGCTCTACAAATACCAGTTGCAAAATGGCCCAGATGATTTTAACAGATGTACCCTAGATTTTAAGTTCTATCTAATATGACAAGTAGTATCTTTGGACTTGGATAAAAACTTGCTTTGAGGGCATGAAACCCCAACTCTACAAAGTTTTCTCAAGAGAACCTTCCATCTTCATGCTTTTAGACAAGATGATTCCATCTGAACAGTCATACTCAGGGCATATTTTGCAGTAATATCCTTCCACAAATTAATTTTAAAATATCTTTGTGTCTTTCTGATTGTCCTAACAATATTTTTCTTTTCTTCCAGTTGCGAGTTTTCAAATTGGCAAAATCTTGGCCAACTCTAAATATGCTGATAAAAATTATCGGTAATTCTGTGGGAGCTCTGGGGAATCTGACCCTGGTGCTGGCCATCATTGTGTTCATTTTTGCTGTAGTCGGGATGCAGCTGTTTGGGAAAAACTACAAGGAATGTGTCTGCAAAATTGCAAGTGACTGTGTCCTTCCACGCTGGCACATGCAAGACTTTTTCCACTCTTTTTTGATTGTATTCCGAGTGCTGTGTGGAGAATGGATAGAAACGATGTGGGACTGCATGGAGGTTGCTGGCCAAGCCATGTGCCTTACAGTCTTCATGATGGTCATGGTGATTGGAAACCTGGTGGTATGTAATCAAAGCGTTAGCAAAAACTTATTTGGCAATAGAGTGGTCTCAGTCCTGAAGTGAACTAAGTGCTCTGGCTCTGCTTCAAAAAAGCACTTAAGGAGGTGGTTTCAAGCAATGCTTAAAGTTAAGCTTAAGAGCTTTTTTGGATAGAGAACAAAGTATCCTGCAATATCAAAATCCTAAGAATGTTAGAGTGAGCACTTAAAAATGTGACTAATTTGTCTTCAGGCTCTTTGTAAATATTTTGTGCTACAAATAATTTTAGTTTATCCACTCTTTATTACCTGTTTGCTGTGGATTTTTTTATTATTTATCCCACATGATTAGTCAACTAAATAATCTAATTTCTACTGTATGATGGAATAGATTAAACTTTTTAATGATGTTGAATAGGAAATCTGATCTCTCCATTTTTAGATTATAAGACTTGGCACCAAAATATTTATTTACTGTGGGGATTTAAAGACACATTTATCGATATTAGTTGTAGGAATATTTTTTGAATGATGAGCAGTACCTGAGCTAAATTAAATAAACTTGGGTTTTTGTGGAGAAGAGAAAAAGTTTTGATGGTGCTTTTTTGTTTTTGGTGAATTATTGGGATTTCAGTCTTTGAAGTCACTAATATGACATTTCTAATAAATAAATGTTATTTGTTGGGATAGAGTCTAGAACTGCCTTTTTTTTTTTTTTTTTTTATCTTTCTGCAGGTACTGAACCTATTTTTGGCCTTGCTCTTGAGTTCATTTAGTGCGGACAACCTTGCTGTGACAGACGATGATAATGAAATGAATAATCTCCAAATTGCTGTAGCAAGAATGCAGAAAGGCATAGATTATGTGAAAAGAAAAGCACGTGAATTCATCCAAAAAGCTTTTGTTAAAAAACAAAAAGCTTTAGATGAAATCAAGCCACTTGAAGATCTGAACAACAAAAATAGCTGTATTTCTAACCATACAACTGTGGAACTGAGCAAGGACCATGATTATAATAAAGATCCAAATGGAACCACCAGTGGTATAGGCACAGGCAGCAGCGTGGAAAAATACATAATTGATGAAAGTGATTACATGTCATTCATAAACAACCCAAGCCTCACTGTGACAGTGCCCATTGCTGTGGGTGAATCCGACTTTGAAAATCTAAACACAGAGGAGTTTAGTAGTGAGTCAGACCTCGAAGAAAGCAAAGAGGTATTTAGATACTTTGTGCATTTCTCTCTAATCTTTTGAGGGGTTTTATTTTGAGGGAGGAGGAGTGGGGTTGGTTTGTTTGTTGAGGGCTTTTCTTGTTTTGTTTTTCATAAGCCAGTGTATTCAATTCTTGATCATTTGTTATTTTTACACTTCTTCGTAGATGGGCATAAAAGAAGGTATAAAGGAGGGTTTAATTCTTGATGAACAAAAGTGTGAGAAGGGGGTAAAAAAATATAACCTCCAAGAGGGGATAAGAGGCCAGGCAATGGGAGACCAAACTAATCCATAAAAACTGCTTATGGTCCATAAGGTAGTTGCAACAGCTATTAGAAGGCAGCGCCTTAGCTACAGGGTTATTCTATCAGAAACTCTTGTTTGCCTCCTGTAACAAGGGTCCAGTGAGGGGTGTCATACACCTCTGGGCCACTTAAAAAACACTCCTCTATGGAATTTTATTTCTGAGCAGATATAAACCAGAAAACATAAAAAAAATTTATGTATGTTCTTTAGACACAGGAAATCTTTAAGATTTTAAAACTGGCAGCTCTTCTAGACCTAGATTCCCATAAACAAAGTCTTAACCATAGACTCTTTCATATACTTCAAATTTACTTGTTAAAACTGAAAAATATTAACAGATGAAAATATCTAATGTTTCTAAAGGAATGCCAAAGCAGGCTATAGATGTAAAGCCTTTATGGGAACTGTAAATTTTAAAAAACCTATTGAGGCTATACCTGTTCCATTATGTGACTTTTTGTCTGTGGCTATTTTAACAAAATAATTTAAATTGATCCAATTACAAAATTTCCAAATTAACAACCTCAGTGACTGACTTTGTTGATATTTTAGTCAAATGATAAAATTACCTTTCCAGACGTCTAATAATATTAATTTTCTGACTTGAGGAACTTCAACCTTGAACTATCTAGTTTCCATTCTGGTAGCAATACAATTTCTTTATAGGATAGTTCATCTTCCCCCCTCCCTCCCACTGTCATATTACTAGCAGTAATTCAGATACCTAATTTTAGGGTAGCTGAATTCTTTACCACTGTCCCTTCAGTGTGCATAAGCCCTCCAGTGCTCTCAACAAAAACCTGGTGTTAAGCCAAGCGCTATCTTCAGATCCTCCCCCAAGAAGGGAGACCTGTACAAAACAGCCTTTCCACCCAGAAAGCTATTTCAGAGACAGCATTGCTCTCATTTTCAATTAATATCTGAAGTGTTAATAATTCTTTTCCTGTTAACTATAACCAAAACCTTTATGATTTGGCTTTCCCTTACACTTCTGAACCACTGTTACAACAGAGGTTCTAAAAATTTATTTGAGCACACTATGAACTACTCCCAGCATAAAGAATTTCAAAATAAAACATTTAAGCAAAGATTCTTTGGAGAAAATAATGGTTAATCATCTATTCTCCCCACAATTACCTTAATACTAGTCAGTCTAATCTTCCAAACCATCATAGAGTAGGCAGTCAAATAGAGTGACTCAAGTTGGTTCATGACTGACCAATGGAGAATTGATTCCTTTTAGAAATAAACTAAGTTTAGAAAAGCTTTCTGTTGAGGTGCTGCTACATGTAGGAACAGGGCTACCTTTTATCCCATTGAAAAAGTACTATGACACTTCTGACTTACTACTAAGCCTGCTTTAGTAAGAGTTTAGTTGTTATTTACCTCTGAAGTATGGTCTTCTCTGCTTTTTTGCCCTCATTCCTCTGAGCTCCCATCTCATTTATGTAGTTATTTTTAGACTCTTACCTGATTTTTCAGTAGACGTTACAGATTCCTGTGTAATTATTTAAGCTTCATTATTTCTGTGTAGGTCAAGACATCATTACCATTTTTGGCTTGTTGTGCTCATAAATCTTTGCAGGTTCAGCATTATCACCCATATTTTTCAGTTTAAAGCATAATTTTGTTTAAAGTCTTATCTATCACTGATACACCTTCCATTTAATAGATCCATACAATGTAGAAGGAAAACCAAAGACTGTACAAATTTCACAGATGTTTATCAGCAATTTACTTGTGTTGAATTCTAGAACATTCAAAAACATTGCCTAATTATTTACTTATCCCAGAACCAAATAATATTTGCCTTAAAATTAGTAACCGTGAATTTGTGGTGCTTCTTTCCTTTACAGAAGTTAAATTCATCTAGTTCATCTGAAGGTAGCACAGTTGATATTGGACTTCCTGCAGAAGAACAACCAGAAGCTGAACCTGAAGAAGCCCAGGAGCCAGAAGCCTGCTTCACAGAAGGTGTTTGGAACAAAAATACTAATAATTCTTATTAATAGAATAATGAATAATTTTGTATTTAAATTAAGTATTAAGATGTATGGATCATATTTCTCTTTTGTTAATGTTTAGACTTTGATTATTAGCAGTAGTATTAGTCTGTAATATATCACATGGATACTGAGACTGCAATTATACTATATATCAGGTAAACAATTAAGAAAACATTTTATCAGAAATGTATCACTATTTTAAAAACACAAAAAATACATTATTGAAAGTTGTATTTTAGTATGAGTTACTGTACTTTGAGTTCAGTTACAGTCTCTTAGATAACAACATTATTTTTAAAATGTTCTTCATAGATATCTATCAAAGTGCTTTATAAAGTATACATTACTGATACAGCTGTTGAATGACAAATAAAAACTGCACCTAGATAGTTTTGTGCAAAACACTAAATGAATCTTCTGTAAATTGACAAAAGAAGAAGGAAGAGCCTTGTGTGCCACCTGGGGCAAGAAGAATTTTACCTTGTAGACTCCTTCACTTTTTATTCTTCCTTCTATTGGCCCACAATGCAATAAAACCAAAATTCAAAAATTCAGAATCTGGTCATAAATGCTTTTCCAATGACATTTCCTTTTGAGAAACCTTACGGATGTGTGCATGTGAAGAAGGTAGGGAAAGAAATATGTTTAAAACAGTAATGTAATAACAGAAAGGCCTTTTCTGGTGTCTGTAGGCAACAGTTAGATTTAGATACTGGAGCATAAATGCTACTGTCCTGTTGGGTTATTTCTGGATATGATAACAGATCATTCTTTAGAAATTTGTATTGAACTTGCAAGTCTAGAATTTGGAGAGGAAAATACCATTATTGTTAGCTAGTATTTTTCTACATAAAAGAAAGAAGAAACAAAAGTCAGGAGGAAATCATAAAAGCTTAAATAAATTGGGAGCACGAGTTTGAGAGGTTAGCTGGTACAGAAAAGCCCAGAACTCAGCTAAGAGGCTTAGATTTTTTTCATTAAATGAATGCAACACTGTCTGAATTGAGCATCCAGAACGAAAGAGGGTACAATTTAATATCACTTGCCCATATCTTACTACATAAACCTACTTGATATTTGGATGAGAAGGTCGCCTAGCTGAAAATCTATTCGGTTTTTATTAAAAGCACAGCTTCTGTAAAATAGCACTGTATAATTACCAAAATGCATAACCAAAATGAATGCAAGTCAAAAAAAATCTTTTTTTCCTCTCTCTCTTTACATACACTGTTCTAAAGGCTGTGTAAGAAGGTTCAAGTGCTGTCAAGTAAGTATAGAAGAAGGGAGAGGAAAGCAGTGGTGGAACCTTAGAAAAACCTGCTTCAGGATTGTCGAACACAACTGGTTTGAGACTTTCATTGTCTTTATGATTCTCCTCAGCAGTGGAGCTCTGGTAAGTAAAACATGAACAGAATGTATCACTGTTGTCAGAAAACTCCTTAGAAGTTGTTCTAACTTTACACAGTTCCATGTCTTCAAATGACAGGACTAAATTTTAGTCAAATTTTTGAAAAAAATGGCAAAAACATCTCTTCTCAGCAATATGTAGTAAAAAAGAATGGATGTAAGTGATTAGAGAAAGCCTAAGTCCATTGCTGAAGGTGATCATGCAGAGGCAGAGAGAGGAACCACGTGTGAAAAAGAGAACATTTTTAACTTTGTTATTTGAGTTTCCTCTCTCTTTTCACTGGTGTTTACTGGTGTAACTCAGGAGAAAGAACTATCACTGTTGGAGAATTTGGAACTAACTGTAATGGCATAAACAGTTCACCATAGCTTTCAAGAGCCAGGGCTGGCTTATGCAGTCTTATAAATGTTACGTGCTAGAACAGAAAGAAAGATTAAGACCATGTATTTTTAATGATTCCTTTCTAAGACTAAGAATTTCTTACTTAGGCTTGCAATTCAGCTTTTACTGACTCATACTGATGCAGACTAGAGGGACATCTGTAAGAACATGAATTTGCTTTAACAAACATGTAAGGGTAGAAGAAAAAGAAGCCAACCATAATATAAATCTGTTACAACAAATGAAACAAAACATAGCAGTAATACATGATTTCAAAAATAAAAATAATGAAAAAGAATAAAGCAATTGGAGATGGACTGTGAAATATAGGCGAGCTCGGATATATAGTAAGGTAACGTTTCTTAGGCAAACTACTTGCTCTGAGATAATGAGTATATCCAGCATCTACCCTGGTAGATGCAATTACCCTTTGGGAAGTTACTGAAGTCCCTACATAATAAAAGTTTTGTTCTGCAAAATTGTATTATGAACTCTTTAGACCATTCCCAGCACTTTAAACTACTGTTGATGGTTAGCAGTTTATGATTATACCTATCACTAGTTCCAGTTACATCTCTAAGAATTATTCTGCTTTTGCTGTGCTTAATGTCAGTGCATCCAACAAAAAAACAACTCTTACTCAACATCAGAGGACACTTTCCCTGTCATTTAAAGCCATCCAAATAACAAAAAATTCAAGCCTACAGTACTGAATTTTGGCTCGTGTAACCAAGTGGAGAAAATCTTCACTGACAAGAATTTAAATGAGAGAGAAGTACTAGAAAGAGATCTGATAAAGGTGAATTTCTGTCACGATATTCAGAGGAAGTTTGAGATGAGATCCCATGGTGTTAGCACCTTGTGTTTGTGAACCTAAGGTGCATCATCCACAAAACCTTTATTTTGTGAAAAGGCTTTGCAGACCATGGATTAGCTCAAGTCTCTGCAGATGTGAGACCCAGCTCTCCCTCCAAATTCTTTTGTGATAGTGAAAAGGTCTTTTTGGATCTGCCAGTACTGAATCCCAATGTTCACCCCAAGACTGTGCTCCAGACAAATCTCACTGTCACCACAGCCAGGAAATCTGGCAGACACAGGCAGGCTGCAAACTGCTTCCAAACCCCCACCCCAGGGGCAGTCAGGGAGCCAACATAGTTCCAGCTGCCAGGAGCGCTGCTGGCTCAGCCTCTGGCACACACACCTATACAAGGGAAATGATATCTGTTGACTTCCCAGTTCTGTGAGATAAAGTTTTCAGTGAACACATATGAGTGTCAGGTTACCTAGTGCCTGATCTAAGTATCCAGAATTACTGGTACACAGTTGTTAGTTTGATGACTGATATACAAACATTTGAACTGATCGATGAAAAGTTATTCAAAAGCAGGCTGAGTAAAAATAAATGTTAGTACCAATAAATATCCAAATCTTTTCAAGCTGGCATAATTTTCCCGCTCTTTCAGTCTGATGAAATTGGTCATTCTCCATAACAAATAATAGTGTAATTGAAATTTGAAAGAAATTAAAGGAAAAATATTTTGGAGACAGAAAAAACTTATTAAAATAAAAAACTATTTGTTTTTTCAAATGCTTAAAAAAATGCCACAAAAAGTATAAATACCATTGCACGGAGCTCAGAAATTTTATGCATCTCATAAAATGTGAATAATACAGTAAAGCAGGTATTTGATTTAAATAATTTCTTTTAAGAAAGGAAGAAGTTATTCTATGATTTATACCTTAACATTTTCAAAAAGCAATAGAACTTAAAAACAAAAGGTCAATTGACCTTCTGTCCTGAAAATTTAAATAGCTACGACCCTGGATTTTGAAATTGGATCTACCTACATATAAACCAAATTATCTGAGTAGAATTCAGTTCAGGCACAACATGCAGAATCAATGCTATTTTTCAGTACAGAAAATGATCTGAGAAGAATAATTCACCATCAGCAATAAATAAATAAATAAAAATCCCTGCCCAGTGAAGCAGTTGCTGTGTAGTATCTGCTTCTTCCTCCTGTAAGCTGGAAATATAGTTCCACAGGGGGAAACAGGTATATGCTGAGGTTAGCAGAAAAAAAAGCATTGGATAGAAGCGACATATCCATGCCTTTTCTTGAAGATTGTTTCCTTTTTTTGTTGCCTTTTTTTGGTTTGTTTTGTTGCAACCTGAAGTACGTGCAGTACCAAAAATAACATGTCTTTGAATGTTTATACTCTCAGGCTTTTGAAGACATATATATTGAACAACGAAAAACTATCAAGACCATGCTGGAATATGCTGACAAGGTCTTCACTTACATCTTCATATTGGAAATGCTGCTGAAGTGGGTGGCCTATGGCTACCAAACATACTTTACTAACGCCTGGTGCTGGCTGGACTTCCTGATTGTCGATGTATGTAGCGTATTTCCTAGGTGATACTTTTATATTTATCTGAATATTTTTTAAATTACTCTCTTTGCAACCATAATATCTATTACTGCCAACCAGTTTACTTTTGATTTAAAAAGTAAGGTAGCTAGAAAAATTCCATTTTACTCTGTCTTTCACTTTATACTTGCAGCACTGCCTTGTTATACCACAGAGTTAGGAAAGACTGAAAATTCTCCTGGTAACAGCAGGACCTGACTTAGCAACCCCACAAGCAGTTAAAGGGTTTATCCCAACACTGCTGTTGAAAGAGGCCATGCTGTCCTCCATTCTGGCCTGGGCTGCTCATTCCACCTTCAGACCCACCATTCCTCCTGCTGTGGTCTAAGTTGAATGCAGCAGTTAGATGGATGTCTGATCTACCAGAAGCAGCTGTTCCTTTTCTAAACTAGTTTTCTCTAATATTTGACCTTATTTAAATCATAATATTGCAAACAACCATCTTGTGAAAGTGAAAATTTGAATACATTGTGTGAAGGTATAGCATGTATTCAAGTGTCTCAATAAGCTGGTGATCAAATCTTGGATTTACACATCTTTTACAAAGATGTTTAATTTTGTTTCAGAACATGGCAGCTTAAAAGTTTTTAGTAGTTTGAGGAGTGTGCTGGAGAAAGAAATTCAGATATCCTAAGAACCTAGATTTGTGGGTTGCTAGAGCTCAATTGACAAGTACAAAAAAGCTAAAGATTTCAAAGCTAAAGATTGGTTTTAAATATGGTTCATAAAAAGCACTGTCCTAGAGTTCTCTTTACCTGATATATTTTTTTCTTATAATGAAAGAGTACATGAGAACATTATGCTATTTTTAGCCAAATAAATAGTTAAGGAATTAGAACAGCATAATGAAGGAACATTTAGGGGAAATGGGAAACAAATAGAAGGTAATATTTTGGACAAGAGCCATAGCAAATATGGAGACTGTGGTATTTTGCACTGAGGTAATGTAGGGACATGGAATATTTAAAGGCCTGTCGAGTTCTGCCACCTATGGAACTGTTCTTATAAGATCTTAGAAACAACATAATCCAGGTCAATGTCAAGCTTGTAAAACACATAAATTCAGCAGTCAGGCAAAAGAATTAGTAAGTATAACTGATTATAGAAAAGTTAATCCTTTCTACCAATTTCCAGAGAAGCAATAGTGCTCTGTGACCCATCTGTTAGTTCAACCCAAACTGCAATCAGTTTCCTTTCAGTTGTGGGCAATCAAATGGATATTATCAACCATAATTATTGATCCCAAGAGAAATGTAAAACAAAAAGTGAGAGCAATACCTAAATTGGTAAAAAGGAGAGATTAATTTAATTTGCTTTTTGTTGTTTTAAATGCCCACAAATCACTAGCAAAATATGAAATTCAGAAATATTAATGTTTCCAGATATTAGTTATGCTATTTTTTTATTTACCTCTTCTTCTTTCATATTACTTTTTTCTTCTTCTTTTTTTTTTTTTTTATTTGAAAGACTCTCTATTCCTGAAGAAAGTGGTCCAAAATTAGAACCTTCTAAAGAAGTGTATATCTCACATCTATGGTACGTAAAGTAGTATGTACAATATAATAATTTTTACTTTCCTGTTTTCATATAGGTCTCTTTGGTTAGCTTAACAGCAAATGCATTGGGTTACTCTGAACTTGGTGCCATTAAGTCCCTTAGGACACTAAGAGCTTTGAGACCTCTAAGAGCTTTGTCACGATTTGAAGGCATGAGGGTAAGACAACATGAAAGAATCTGAAACTATGCATGCATAGAAGAAATACATGCATGCAGAATAAGGAATGAAAAGTCCATGCAGAAAGGCTGCACTATCTTTTTATCGCATATCTTTTACTAACAGATAAGCAAAAAGCTTCATCAATTCACCTAAATCCATATGCAGTGTCACATAGAAGTTACATTCATTAAGATTACTTTACTTTCTAGCCAATCTCAGGAGTTCTTCATATAAGTCTTTGAAATTATCAACTATGAACTCACGTAACAGACTCTTAAAAATGAAACAAATGTAACAAAATTATATTCATTTTTTACTGATATACATACTACAATATTGATACAGGAATCTAATTTAGCATCAGTTAAAGATACTGTCTGTTAAAATTTGAATTTTTTTTCATTTTTCTCTATATTTGATAAACTCCCTTAAGTCTAACCCCGCTGAATTTTACCAGGTGGTATTACAGATATATTCATACCCACTAGTGGTTTAAATCTATTTCTGAGTTTGGCTGACTTAAAAAAGCAAATCAAGTAATTTGATTTCTCTATGAAATTATTCTCTTTGTAAGGTAAATGCTTTTTTTTATTTCAAATAATCTCTATTCAGTATTCAATACAATGCATCTAAGGTCATTTCTTACTACTCTGAGTAATTTAGAGGCCCTGCTTTCTATTCATCTCACTCAAGAAGGCATTTTAACTTATTTTTTCATTTGTTTATACCTTCTGTTCCTTAAAGCCACTGAATACAAACTAACTCTATATGCATGTCAATGAAATATATTTTAAGAGAATGCTTTTTCCTACTTCATGGAAACATAAGAGGAAACAATGCAATAATGAATTTCCAGTCAATTATAAACCAGTGGAATAGGCTGGAATATACTGTATTCAGAAAGAAATCTAAGTTTAATGAATTCCAATTGAAGCTTCAAATTCTTTTCCTTGAACTGTGTTCAGTAGACTACCTATCTCTACTTCAGAATGCAGCAGAAAATATATCACTAACCAATGATTACTAGATTAATAAATTTCAGCTTCATACAGCAAATTGAATTTTAACAGTTTTCTGCTTATTTGAAACTCGTGAATTCAGCAGGGTAAGAGCTGGTCAAGTACTACAGAATGTACAACTATTTGATTTAGCCATTTTCTCTTTGTCTCTCTTTGTACATACTGTTCATGAACATTCAGAAAAATGTATGTGGTTTTGTGCAGAGAAATGTCATGAAACTGCTGTCAGCTTTACTTTTTTAATAACGTTCTGGTCAGCTGCAGGAGGACTGGGAGACCAGTATAGACATTACACAGGAAGGAAAAAAAAAGCAGCTTTAAAAATTATATTGGAAAAAAAGGTCATTTCTAGAAAGATGATATCAAAATTGATTGCCATATGTTTTATTCAATTTTTCTGTATCCTTACATGATTGCCTTAGTAAACTTTCCTCTTAAAAAAATTTAGGATATTTATGCTCAAAGAAAAGTACCTGTTATTAGAAACCTATTTACTGCTATCCCTTATTTCTTGCTGAATAACTACTAAATTATGCCAGAAGCCCAATCATATGATAGAATTTCAGCTACAGAACATGAATAATTCATGAGCAATTTACTGTGCAGGAATCACAGACAAGCTTGGAAAAGCAAAAAGGTTTCAGCACTGTCCTCCAATATTAATGACAGTCAATGAAGTGCCTGATTCCCATCACTTAGCAAATTTGACTGGCCAATTACATAGGCCTTATATTTACTATTAGTTACATGAACTTCTGAAAATGTTTTGTTTTCCAAAGTACTTGGCAAGTATTCATAACAGCTCACTGACAGTTGTTGGCATTACTTTATGAATGACTCACGAACAGTAAAAAGATTCAAATAATAAATAATTGACCAGCTCATGGTAAGACTATAGTCAGATTGCAGTCTTCTCAGAAACTGAGTTCACTGCACAAGAATTAATAAAAAGAGATTTTTTTTTCTCTACCTGCAGAAAGTAAAAATAAATCATCCCTCTTTGTTTTCCTATATTGCCCATACCTACACTGAGCTGTGATAAAACAAGCTGACTTTTTATTCAGCATGTATTTAAATTTTAATGTTTACCCCATGTTCAGAGCTGTGCAAATTTTGCCTTGAAAATATAAAATATCTTAAGTATTCCACAGAAGTCCATGTATATAAAAAGCTCTGCATCATTTTGTAAAACAAGCTACCAAGTTCTCAACTACTTTAAATCAACCAATGTTTTTCTTATGTAAGTTTACCCTTCTGGGGAATTGGAAGAACACAGCATTTTACACAATCAGTAAATACTAATGACTATTCTGTTATCCCAAAATATGAAATACAATTCACATTTTAAGTTACATTCTTAGAAGTCTACAGCTATACTCTGTAGTTACAGCCTAATTTCATAATTATGCTTCATAAATGGGATAAATTCTCTTTCCAAAGGGAATATGAGATATATGAATCTCTTGCACCAAAAAAGGGTACAAGTGATCCATAGCCTGTGCTTGCCTTAAGCACTGAAGTGACTTTTGCCATTTTAAAGGCATTTAGTATATCTCTAGTATACTGAAGTCTAAAATATTTAATACTTTCTATAGCGAATCTCAAAACCAACTCCATCCAGATGCTGGAAGGCAAAGTAAAGAATTGCTTTAATTTAATTTAAATTTCTGTCTTAGGGTTTATATTCTCATCTCAATTAGTGTATGCACTAAGCAGAAGTAGCTGCAAACTGAGATTTGAATATACCCATTGCTTTTTGTTTAGCTTTCTAGTACTTGCAATATAATGCTTTTGCGCTAGTCCTGAATTGGTATGCTACCTGTAAATGTAGAATACTGAGTATACATTGCTTTGCTGAGTTAGAGAATTAAGTGACAATAAAGCATGCATTTGTGTCTAATTTCACAAAATAAAGCATGTCATGCCGTGCTTGATTTATTTATTAGAGAAATAGTAGAAGGCAGCAAACAATCTGAAATCCACTTGCACTTTCAGTTTTGCATGCCTTATGCATATTTCTGGCTGATGGCTTTAAACATTTACTGTATTTCAAATTTCCAGTCCAATTTCATAACTTATAAAACTAAATTAGAGTATTTTATGTCTTAAATATCCTGTAAAATTTACTGGCTATTCCTTAGATTTCCTTACAAGGAAAGTGATAATGAGGAAATTTCAAGAGTACTCAAACCTTCATTTGTATAAAAGAAACATTTCTCATATAGTTGAGTTATAAAACATAACATCAAGTGTCTGTCATTACAGATTCACAACTAATAACAGGCTATATATTTCTATTTCATATAGGATAACCTTTCAGCTTGGATGGGGTGGACCCCTGGTTCCTCCCCTTATCTGTATTATGGGTACAGTATTTCCCCTTTTCTACCCTTAATGAGTACAGTCTGACTAATCACTGCATTGTATATTTTAGGGTTAGAAGGAGAGACAATCATATTTGAGAATCCCAGTACCGGCAAAGTAATATTATATTCACCCTACACTCCTAAATCACTTCAAGTCTTTGGAAATAATGCTTTGAAATTTTTTATGTTACAGAAATAACATGAAAACTTTTGAGCAAATCAGTATTGTTATTTAGAGTTCCTCGAGGAGAAGGTATCTCAGCTATTTTAATATTTTTAGTTGCTTTTTAAACTGAGATAAAAATTGGCTTTCTTTAAAAATTTGAATCTGGCTTTTACATTGTTTTGGAAAGATCCATGCTTTACTCTGTTACTCAATTTATTGCTATATATATTTAAAAATATGCTGTAGAAAGTTTTGCACATTACTCTTAATACATTAAGCCCACACCAAAACACTGTGATCTGAATAGTCACAACTATACATATTTCTACAATTGCAATATACATTTCTGCATAATTTTAAAACCTCTATATGTTACATTAAATAAATCACTCCAAGTGTGACTGTGATTAAGTAAATCACTCCAAGTGTATACAGACAACATGAAACAACATATATATATAATCCTTTCTTGCAATCTGAAGTTAGTATTCTTTGGCCTGTGTTGGAAACTAGTTTCTGTAATTTTGATAAAATGCCAATATTATCTTCCTTAGAGTTTAGAAATGTCCTGCAGGAGACATGTCAGTGATGTAAAAAATTTGCATTCATTATAATCATTAGAAAAATCCACTTCTTAGAACTAGAACCCTTGCAAGCACCAGCTGTAAGAGGGTATCATTAGTGCAGGATTTTTTTATAGCTTCAGTGTAAATGATGTATCAGCATAAACTGCCTTCAGTGTAAATTTATCATCTCACAGTTAAGGATTATGTATTCACTCTCAAGGAAGTTTATTCATTATTTTCTGCAAGTTTCTCTTGATTTTGAACTTCCAGGGATTCTTTGAGGACTGTGATCTTATTCATTACCTCTGAGTTTTAAGGAGTCTATGAAACATCTTATGTCTCCTGAAAGACAATTAAAAGCTTTACAAACTTTAGTGTCAGAAGACTCTGTGTATAGATGTTCATAAATCATACAGGAAATATCCCAGCAATTTTTTGGATTATAGTTCTGCAATTAGAAGAGGACTATTGAAGAAGTATATGATATAATTGAAACTGATATGATTTTTTTCCAAATTTCTGTTTGTTGTATCTTAAAGAAAATCCTTACTTTTAGAATCAAAATTTAATGAAATTTGAATGGGATACATAATATAGTTTGCATTTTAATTGGGAATGTTACAGGGCGTGTAACGGTCAATAACATTAATGCAACAGGAAGGGCAAAAAGTTGGCGTGTGTTCACTGCATTCCGTGAAATACAAAGATACTGTTCCCACATCAAGTAATTACTCTATTTTCATGCTCATGTTTCTTCACGATATTTACCGACTCTTCTCAGACAAACGGAGTCATGTGATTTATTGCTTGGCAGATAATTATTGTATTTTATCATTCAGTATGTTAAATTATGTGTTTTCTTCTATGTTTTCTTCAAAAG